ATTAACCTTACAGGAAACTCCCAGTTTATCTTATACTCTCTTCTTTAATTAACTCAGTTGTCCTGCAGAGAATTCCTTTGTTTTGTTTGACCATTTTTGCCCCTTAAATTGTATTGATACAACATGGGTTGTTACTCTTTGGAAATGTACTCTTAAGAGTAAGATTAACCGTATAATTTTATTTTATTTTATTTAAAATAATTCTTCTGATCTTTTTAGGTAACAACTTGGAATTCAGAAGAGTCTTATTAGAAAATCTAAATGATCTCTTTCATGGGTCTCTTGCATATTTTTTATTGTCTTCTTTGACATTCAATACAAGCAAAAATATACACCTGTTGGTTATAAAGCATAGGGTGAGGAGGAAAGTGTGCAAGTCCTCCCCCAATCTAAGAATAGACATATTTTCAAGAACTTTGCATGTGTCCAAGGACTTCTCCTTGCTCTAACCAAAAGCAAAGCAAAACAAAAACATATTTTTGTTAAGTGTTTAGTTACCTTGCTGTTTTTTTCTTTTATGAGTTTTATAAAAATGGTGTGATGCTGGACGTAGTTCCATGGAACTGGTGTGTTTTTAGTTAACAATGTATTTGAAAGATCTGCCTATGTCGTATGTGGTTGTAGTTTATTCAATCACTACTGAATAACATTCTTTTTTTTTGGTGGGGGGGAGGTGAGCGGTGGAGAATATAACACTACATATTGTATTACCTGTATTATTTGTCAGTTGTTTTCTGTGCTGTTTTTGTATGTTTCCATTAATATATGCCTATCTCCTTGAGGAATCAAATGCATTCAACAGAATTCAACTAAACGTGCTATCAAGCTTTTCTCCTAAAAAAAAAAAAAAAAAGAAAACAAGTAGCCAGTTTCTTCTCCAACAGAAAGAGAATTGATAAGATACCTAGGCAAGGAAAAAATGGTATAGAACTTAAAAAGTGTGGTGTATTGTTAGAATGGTCACAAAGCAAAGACTACCATTGGTGTTTGTCTTCAAGATTCTATTTCCCAGATTGGAAAAGATTAAGTTTGCATAGAACCTAATCACCGAAGAAAATAAAAATCATCTTGTTTGCCATGTGAAAACCCTGAGGTGCCTTAAAATTTGCTTTTTGTTAATATTAAGCTAATAAATAAATATAAATATAACAAATAAATATGTAAGAAAAAATGATCTAAATACTCATCTTATTGATGACTTACTACTTTAGGAATAGACATTAAAAACGTCACAGATGAAAGATCTTTCCAGTAAGAATAAATCTGGAGAGAAACCTTTGCAAACTCTACAAATAACTATGTGTTTCTATTTAATCTACATATTCCTTTATATTCTCAGGGACAAAATAATTAGTATTTTTTATTATTTAAAGCAAACTAGATAATATTTAAAGGTTTTCTGTTGCAACAGCCTTCTAAAAATCAATGCTAAACTTTTGCTGCAATTTACAAGGAGGCATTAAAAAATTCTGCATGTGTCCCCAGGGAACACCAAATACAAGGAACATATAATTTCGATATTCTTTGTCACTTATTCTGCTGAAACTATCAGAGTGGATGGGTTTGTATACAGTAGGGCACCTTATGCAGGGAACTTTTTAAATTTTAGTTTTTAAAAAAACAAGTAGAATGCTTTTAATGATTCATAGGTAGTGCTCAACTTAAGACCCTAATATATTTCTTTGTTAATGTCCAGGAATAACCTACAACTGGAACATTTTCATTTAACAATTAAGCTGAATTTTAGTTTTAAAAAAGACAACCCCTTAATACATAACTTTAGTCAGTAAACAAAAAAGAAAAAGAAAAAGAGAAAAGAAAAAAAAGATTTTCTTTCTATATAATCGACTCACTGAAGATAAAAATTTCCAAAGGGAAAACTGTGGTAGAAAAATAAATACCGAATAAAAAAAGGGCTAAGTTTCGTTATGATAGCTTTTGATTTTTTTAAACAAAATTATTATTTATGGCCCTTCATTTGGAACATCATCTGTGAAAGATGGCTAGGGCAGTAGCACACAAAAACCTCGTGCCATCCTGGGTGTGTGTGTGTGTGTGTGTGTTCAAAACCTTTCTTATAGGAAACCATCCTGGTTGTTGATGAGAAAAAAAAAACACTCCTCGATTCAGACATTCCCAAGTCTATTAGCCATCTTTTATTAGTAGTAGTATTACTATTTAAATTTTTAAATAATGTATTATTGACTTCAATTAGCCTGACTCAGGAAAGGCGGCCACACGCGGGCCGCACGTGGTCCAGTCTCTGTTTTCAAGTCTCGGTGAGTCCCGGTGCTCGCCGCGGCCGCCCCTCCCTGGCGGGTACCTGGACTCACCGTGTTTACTCACAGCGCGGCGGCCCCGGGGAAGCCTCCCCACCCGCACCGTGGAGAACCCCACGCCGGGGACTTCGCGGGAGGGGGGGGCTCCGTTAGTTTGCAGTCACTTACGTATCCAATGAAGCAATTAGGGGGTGTGGGGTGTGGGGGGCGGAGACGAGCCCGAGGGGACCCGCGGTGGCAGGTGCGGGTGGGTTTCCGCAGTGGCCACTGATGGCGGGTGCGCGCGCGGCACGATCTTGGTTTGGGACCCGAGCCAGGATGCGTGTCCGGGTGAGGATCGCCGCTCCCCACCCCTCCCCCCGCCATCCCTTCCGGAGCCGGAGGGGGAGCGAGGGTCTCCCCCCCTTCGGACACGCCCCCCCTCCTCCCAGCTCTGGGGTTCGGCAGCCCACACCGTGCACGCGCCGCGGCCGCTCCCCGCAGCTGTCCACGTGGTGGTGGAGCCCGGGGCAGCCCGCAGCGACCGGGAGCCCTTGTCGGGGGAGGTAGGGGGGGGCGCCAGGCCCGGAACAACCCAGCCGAACCGGTCCCCCCCTTCCCCGATCCCACCCCAACCCGGGGCCCCCACATTTCCTGCCCCGGAGGGAGGCCCACTCCGCGGGCCAACCGTGCCCAGTGCCCGCCGCGCCCTCTGGCGGCCGCCGCGGGGACGCGCCCTGGGCACGCGGGGCCGCCTGTCTAGGGGTAGAGGGGGGACCCCCCCCCCACTTCCCGGATTGGGAGCCCGCGGCGGGATCTCTTCCTCGGCCACCTTCCTTCTTCTCCCCACTCCCCCCTCCTCCGCCCGCCGCCCTTCCAGCACCACGCCGATCCTCCGGAACGCTGGGCACCACTGTTCACGCCAACACGAGCGCCCCAGGCTCGCGTGAAAAAGTGCGGGGCTTAGTAGCCTGACGAAGTGTGTGTGTGTGGGGGGTTCCCCTTTTCTCCCAGGTGCGCCCCACCCGCCACGATCGGGCTTTTCCAGCACGCTGCGGAGAAAAAAAATGCCGCATGCACAACGCACTTATTTATTTATTTTGCAACAGCTGCAAGAAACAATGGGGCTTTTCAAGAACGGAGGAAACGGCTTTCCAGCCGCGCGGCGGTTGTTTTCAATGAACCTCGTCGGGCCCCGCGCTCCCCGCCCACCGCCCTCCGCGCCCCGCCCCTCCGCCCTCTTCCCCGCCCCTGTCCACCCGAGAGTAGCGGGGTGTCTGTGGGGGGCGGGAAACCCGCGTAGGGGACATTGTTTTTGGGAGTCCTGCGGGAGGGCAAGGGGGGGGAGTGCGGGGAGGGCGCGTGCGGGGTGGCCGGCGCAGTGCGGGGTGGAGGCGGGAGCCTGTGGGCGCGCGCGCGCGTGTGTTGGTGTGCGCGCGTGTCTGGTTGCGGGCGGGGCCGTGGGGAGGGAAGGAGGGAGGGGAAGGAGGGAGGAGGGGCGGTGCTTCGCAGCGCGGCGCCCCACGCCCGAGCTCCATTCCGCACGTCCCTGGAATCCCCGGCTCCCGTTCTTGCGGTGTACCGACTCAGGGCCCGGCCCTCGGCGCGCCCGGGCT